GGCTGACTGATGCTTGCAATATGCTATTGGCTATCTAAGAATACCTAGCACATAAACCATCACCCTGTCCTTGTGTTTGGTCAGCAGTTCTACTGTGATGATCACCTGAACGACTATGTGTGTTCCTAGTACAAATGGGGATATCTCGTGTGAACATATGATAGCCCATTTGCCATGCTTATGATAAGCTGAACACCTGACTAGTAACATGTCACCGTGCATGATGCTATGCTTATCTAGGTAGATATCTAATCAGATAAGATATAGATCATCTAGACACTTGAGATAAGATAGATGCTATGAAATTCTGTAACAAAGAGGTTGTCCAGCTGCTTGATTTCTTGTACAAGCATCATGCCCAATCAGGAGATGGCAGCAACTTCAATATCACAGTCTTCAACAAGGTTAAAATGCAATTCTTGTGGATGGAGTTGCCCAAAACCAGAAAAGCCTGTGAAAGAAAATACAAAATTGTGAGTGCCAGCATTCCTTATGACACAAAATTCATAATATGACTTGTGTGCAAAGTTGTAGGATGATTTCCATGTGGCATCAATTGTCAAATCAAGTTCTGGTTTTGTGTAGTCAGATCACTTTGGTGTGGGACAACCAGAAAGTGGCCCACCATTGGCAGCTTGGCAGGATCTTGTCAAGGTAAGTACTTTCATTGTCTGAAGCTGAATCAAATTTACAATATTACCAATATATTAGCAGCATAGCTCTGTTTCAAAATTCACTAACAAAGGCTGGCTATAATGGAGGGGATGGAGAAGATTATGCCCTATGCTATACCATGCAGAACTCATATAGTACAGCATCCTCTCAAGCCAAGCCTCTGAAGAAGGGAAAGGTATTGCACATTTGCACTAGCAATACAGAGGACACCTTTGGATCTGTACCAGATTTGGACCCATCCGCGCTGATGACTGATCCTCTAGCTGCTTCAGGAACATCAAATATATGTGGTGGGTACATGTACTGTATATTCTATAAATATATTAATTATTTCATGTTAATATAGCATCTCTGTTGCTTATTATAAGCCAAATTGAATTGCTCTTGCCATCTAACTCAGCATCTACACCACTGTTAAGGGACCTAACGACTGAGGATCAGGAGTTTAACTTACAACTGATATTGATACTGATACTGATACACGTAAGGCTAATATGTTATACTTGTACTTGTTACAGCTTTGAGGGGGGTTTTCTTTTCTTCCTTACCATTCGTTATTGAAACTGTACTATTATAACTGATCCTATCACTTGGTGTGTTTCATCTTCATCATCATTTCATATATATTGTGTTTCACCTATTATCATGTTTCATCTACATTGTGTTTCACTTATATCATGTTTCATTCTCATCACTGATACAACCCAGTGAAACAGTTTCATACTCATCATTGATTCAACTCAGATCATTTCATACTTATTAAACTCTACCTACTTACTCTATTTAAGATGCACTTCTTGCGCTGCTGTACTTGAGTTTTGTCCTCTTGTTCCCTATATACACTTCATAGGGATATTTACAGTAATAGACTCAGTTGTCTATTCTAGTCTCAGTCTGAAGCCCAGCTTCAACCAGTATATGCTCTCAGACCACTATTAGCTATAGTGGCTCAGTTTACAAGTCTAGCCTCAGTATAATGCATCAGCCTTATGCATATAAGTATCAATAACAGTTATAAGTTGAACTCCTGATCCTCAGTCATTAGGTCCCTTAACAGTACTAGACTTATAAACTGAGCCACTGTAGCTAACAGTGGTTTGAGAGCGTATACTGGTTAAAGCAGGGCTTCAGACTAAGACTGAATAGACAACTGAGTCTATTACTGAAGACATCCCTATAAAGTGTATGTAGAGAACAAGAGGACAAAACTAAAGTACAGCAGCACAAGTAGTATGCCTTAAATAGAGTAAGATAGATAGGGTTTAATAAGTATGAAATGCTGAGTTGAATCAGTGATGTGTATGAAATGGTTTCCCCAGTGACACTGGGTTGTATCAGTGATGAGGATGAAACATGATATAAGTGAAACACAATATAAGTAAAACATGATTTAGATGAAACATGATAGAGGGGAAACGCAATGTATATGAAACAATGATGCAAGTGAAATGCACCCAGTGATGGGATCAGTTGTAGTAGTACAGGGTTAACAATGAATAGTAAGGAAGAAAAGAAAACCCCCCCACAAAGCTGTAACAACCACTGTGTCAGAAGTAGAAGATACCTGATTCTACAGTACCTCCAGCTTCATTTACAATCTCATTGCACACATCATCAAAGAAGGCTTGCACTAGTCAGGATGATAATCACATGCAGCTGCTGAAACAAATTGGCAATGATTTCAATAAAAATATAGACACTTGGATGGCTGAGATTGTTGAGAAGCTGGGTCCTGTTACTGTCACTCTTTCTACTCCAGCTTCTATCCCAGAGCAGAAAAATCTAATGCATGAAGTTTCAGCTTGGATACAGACAGAGCACTGGTTGAAGCCAACACAGTGTGTTAGACTTCTCAAGGCCTTTGCTTCCAATTCATCTGCAGATCTCTTTCTCACTGCTAGTGATCAGATCTGGAGAGCATGGCTTCAAGAGATACTCATTCTAGATCTTGGATATTCTATCCATGAAATGGGATCAGATGCTTGGCAAGGTGATGAAGAAGAGTATGAAAGACAGGTGAAATTAGCAGCTCAAAGTGTGTAAATTTGATGGTTTTATC